ACAGAGACCCTGGATACACCCACACACACACCCCTGCTAATCTTGGAGCAGGAACAGGATGAGGCAAAACCAAAGCACGTTGAAACCAAGAAAATAAGCCTTTATCTCCTGCGGTGTCCCTCCAGTACCCCTGTTTTAAAATGTAGGTTTTATTCTTCTTCAGGTGTGGCGAGGACAACAGATCAAGAAACGATTGTCATTGAAAATGTAGTTTATTAGTCACAGTTCCCAAGAGAAGGCAGCTGCTGCACATGCCATACAGGGCCATGTGGGTCCATCAGGACAAACAAGGGAGGCAAAGGAAAACATGGGCAAGACTGTTCGCTGTCATTTTTGCAGGAGGGAGTTGGAAAGGCAGGCTAAGCAGCTACGCAGGTTTAGGATTGGCTCATTTGAATATTTTCAGTGGGTTGATTAGGGCAGGGGAACAGTGGCCCCAAGTGTAAGAACCCAAAACGGTGGGGGTTGGGTTGCTGTGGGGTGTGGACTCTGGATTGGCTAGTTTGCATATGAAAGGTATGCTCTCAGGACAGCCATTTACTAGGCAGGAATTGACCAGCACCGGGAGGGGCAGGCCCTCCAGAATCAACAAGTCCCCAGCTGTGAAAACATCAGAAACACATGGTTAACACAGGCCCCTACTGACAAAGCTTAACAGTCGTGTTCACTGCAGAAGAGGGAGGCTCCACCGCCACAGAGCAGGTAAGGAGGATGGATTTGTCGCTGAGATGCACGCACTGATAACTAGCACAGCTTCCCAGAGTTTAATCATGCTCTTGAAGATTTTCAGTCTGTTCACTTCACCTCTGATTGCTTGATTTCTTTTTATTTCACTTATTGTTGTCATTGACAACGTCATCTTTGATAATGTATCGTCCTTTTCTTTGTACCACTGTAACTGTCATTTTGGTTTATTTCCCAATGTCCATTCTATGCAAATAATCAGTTTAAATATATCGTGGATATATAATTCCTTTGCCACAGATTAGTCCAGGGAAGGGCAGATCTAAGCCAATGTGGGTCACTGAGGAGCGGTTTTCCCGGGGCTCTGGGATGAAGGTGTTCTGAGTCTCTTCGTTTGACCTGAACTGGGAGATGCAGCTGAGCTGCGGGGAGCCATCCTGTGGCTGTGTGAGAGGCCGGCTTGAGGACAGTGATGGCACAAAGGAGCGTTTCAGTCTGTTCACTTCACCTCTGATTGCTTGATTTCTTTTTATTTCACTTATTGTTGTCATTGACAACGTCATCTTTGATAATGTATCGTCCTTTTCTTTGTACCACTGTAACTGTCATTTTGGTTTATTTCCCAATGTCCATTCTATGCAAATAATCAGTTTAAATATATCGTGGATATATAATTCCTTTGCCACAGATTAGTCCAGGGAAGGGCAGATCTAAGCCAATGTGGGTCACTGAGGAGCGGTTTTCCCGGGGCTCTGGGATGAAGGTGTTCTGTGTCTCTTCGTTTGACCTGACTGGGAGATGCAGCTGAGCTGCGGGGAGCCATCCTGTGGCTGTGTGAGAGGCCGGCTTGAGGACAGTGATGGCACAAAGGAGCGCGGAGTCAGAGAGCAGCTGAGGACACAGCCCTGATTATTCCACACTGAGAACCCAGCCTGTCTCTGAATTCTGTCATTTAATAAGTATCCTTATGATACAAGACCATTTGAGTCCAGATTTCCTCTTGCTCGACTCCAAAAGCATCATGACTGATACGAGTTCTCAGCAGACCTTATTCATACTTCTGCTGTATTATTTATGGCTCGTTGCAATTACTTATTCTAACTTTATCTCCCTGACCAGACCAGACTATAATCTTGTCTTGGACTTATCTTAGTTATCTCAGTCTTTCTAGTTTCCAACACAATGCCTGGTACATGGAAGATGGTAAGCAAATATGTGTTGACTGCGTGAACAGTTCTGCCTATTGTGTCCTAAGTACGATGATTAAGGAACTTACACAAAACAGTTCATGTCCCTAAGAAACTTAAAGTGTAAGGGAAACTACAATAGACTGCAATTAATACTCTAGAAAACAAGTACGTTTGAGTAACCAGAATGAAACATCCAAACCAAAAGAAAGCAAAATGAAGCCCTTCAACCTCTGCCTTTCTCTGGGCAAGGCTTTATCCGAAAGGCTGATTAGGTATATTTCGCACTTATTTATTCCTTCCACCTAAGTTACTTCTTGGTGAATTAACCTCTTGGGAGCTACATTATTTGTCGCAGGAAAACCAAGCAGCAGAGACGAATAAATCGGGAACGCACTGTTTCCAGACTGAGGTACAGCCACCCAGCTCGGCAAGCCAGAGAGAGGGCAGCGGAGGGGACAAGAAAAAGCGAAAGGCAGGGAAGGGGGAACACAGGCAGGGGGAGAAGTCCGAGAGGAAAAGCCCGTGTAGTAAGTAGGCTTGCGCAGAATCCGGAGCTGTGAGGAGCGGCCCTTGCTTCAGGGAGCTTGCAGTCTATCCGAGGGAACAGACCAGAAACACATGATTATCTAAAAAAATAAAGTGTGCAGTACCCGATAACCAGATGTCAGCAGGTCAGGCTCTCAAACTGGCTGGAATACCTGATGAACTATTTACATTCCTGCTCTAGGTCAAAACAGGGACAAGGACCCTGGGGCTCAGAACCGCCGCCGCTGCTGCTGCTGCTCATGAGCTCAGGAGTGTGACAGAAGGACAAGCTGTGTTCCTAGGTCCTTCCTTCCAGATCTTGGAGAGGAGCATATAAGGGATGAGAATCAGCTTGGTTGCTGCCAGATTCAGCCAGGAGCTTTGGGGAGCTTGGATCAGCTGTTGGAAGGCCTGGGTGGAACTGTGATCAGAGTTAGTAGCTAACAGCAAAGCCAAGGAAATCTGGACATCCACAGCTGGGCACGGCTCATCTCTGGAACAATTTAAGTGGAAGTACAACCAGCTGAGCGTTAGTTTGTGCTGGACAGTTTTCTGGATGGCCTTGCACCGACCCAGTCCTCCTTTCTTACTTGTAGTTTTCAAGAATAACTATAGAATGTGCTGGGAATACAACATCCTGAGACAGGGAGGGACTGGCTATAACAGCCCCTTTAGAAACATGATGTCCTTCAATGCTTTGGCTCAGTTTGTCATGTACCCCTGGGGTGTAAAACTCCATAAAACCCAGGGTAGGCTGCTTTCTGAGGTCTCTCAGCTGAGTGCAAGCGGGGTACACTCAGATGAGACTCCATCCACCGCAGGCAGCTCTCTTGAGCATTGAGGAACTGGCTCGTAATGAATCCTAGTCTCCTGTTGTCCCTTGCAGCCTATCTGTAAGTCATAAATCCATTTCATGTAACTTGTGTGTGTGTGGTGGGGGTGGGGGATTCTTTCTCAGTGGACTCAGACAAGTTGGTAACCAGTGCACAGTGAACCTGCTTCACAGGTCAGTGGGTTTCTGTGGACCAGCCAGATAGCAAATTGAATGTGTCTTTTGGGCTCGGCTGTGCCTTTTTTAAGCCAGTGAGAAATGAGTCTTGTGTAAGCACCATGACCCCCTGCCTCCATCCACGGGCTGCGAGAGCTGTCTTAGTATGGCCACTCCTTGCCTGTTCTGTGCACCCACCCATCAGACAGTATCATGGAGGCCTGCTATGTGTCCGGCCTTGTGCAGGCTGTGAAGACGCTTTCAAAGACGAGCTGCCCGTGCAATTCCGAGGTGCCTGAACTCCCGGTTCACGGTACCCTTGGTTCTCAGAAGTTTACTTACAGCACACCTAGGTCAAAAGACTACCCAGCAGTTCCCTTTATTAAGAAGTTAGGCCCAAACAACTTAATAAATATTTATGTCCTAACACCTTAGTAGTCATTTGAAACTATAAAACCTGTAAATTAGAAGAAAAACTAATATTTTAATTTTACTCCTAAATAACCACAATTACTAATGGGATGCATGTGCTGATCGGACACTGCGCAAATCCTAAAACCTTGGAATCAGACTGGACAATACCACCCTCATTTCCTGTTCCACACTGATTTTTGTGGGGCTCTACCTTTTTATCACAACAGCTGTTGAAAACCCAGTTTTGCAAAGATATAACATCATCCAAAGAAATGTAGTGGAGTCATGTTGAAACTGTGCTCTGTCTCCAGCCCATATGCAAGATGTCTGACAGATGACTCTGTTTTCCTCAACTATTTAAAATACCCTGCTTTGCCCCTAGGAGTTCACTGTGGCAACCCAGGAAGCTCAGGGGATATCTTGATACAGAAACAAACTTGATTTAGAAACAGGTCTATGCTTAAAGTTTTTCTAAATCCACTGTAGGGCTTCTCAAACTGAGATCACTTAATGTATGCTCAATAACATATGAATCTTCACATGGTTGGAAGCCAGAGGATGCAGGCTCAGCCTCTCCTGCATTTTGTGGCAGTGTCAAATGAGTCACATGTACCACCTGACCAGCACTCGGCCCTGAACAGCTTCGACTGGACACTTGCCATAGTTAGAGGATCCTCAAATCCAGATACAAGAGTGAGAGATCTTATGAAGACCTGAATGTTGCCTGGTCCTGCCCTGGAAGTCTTGGACACATGGTCACCACGCATGAGAAACCACAGTGAAAGACCAGTCTCCAAGTCTGGGGCCATTTGGGTCTAATAAAGGCTGCAGAAATTCCTAAATTTCCTATGCCTGCCCTAGGAGAGATCGAGGTGTGGGATTCCTACAAAACTGATGCCAAGCCACCTAAGTCAACCGTCCTTATCCCTCCCAGCCCATCTGTCACAACCCTCCCTCCCCCAGTGGATTATCTCACCTGAAGGGTCTGGTAAGTAGACTTAGTCAGAGACGTTTTGAGAATAAGACCTGGACTCCCGAAGCCCCTGAAGTGTGGTTTCGTAAATAGATTCAATAGATCTACTGCTCGGGTTGGCTGGTTGACTCACCCACTCAGAACGTGAGGCTGGTAAAAGTGAGGTCCAGGGTTGGGACCCCCTATACTGGCCAGCCGCCAAAAAAAAAACCCAAAACCCATATACATAGTAGAACTGAGAGAATCTTCTTAGCGATAGAAATGTTCACAGTTCGATAGGGTGTGAACGACTGGCGAGTAATCAGACACACTCCATCCAACTGTGGACAGGTGGACAAGGTGACAAAGCGCAGTAAACGCTGACGCAGACCTAGGTGGAGGGTACAGGAGCGTTCGCTGTCAGATTCCTTAAACTTTGTATGACTGTGGACAAATTCCCATGATCAAATGTTGGGAGAACTTAATAGACCTCTATGCACAAGATTGCACGTTAACCGCATGTCAGCAACACCTCAGAAAATAAAGAAAAGCGCCAGCTCTGAGGAGGGGATGGCCTAAAAACCGGACAGGAGGGAAAACGATAAGACTGGGATCACAGACACGGTTGTCCTAGCCAGAATGTCCCTTGTCACACCGCTCCCTGTCCCTCCTCCCCTGTTCACCCTGAGCCGGCCCACGTGCCACGCCCCCTTCGCCCAACCCCGCGCGCCCCGCCCCCTGCGCAGATCCCTCCCGGATGTCGCCCCCGCGTGCCCTGCCCCCTCGGCTCACGCACTCGGCCCTGAACAGCTTCGACTGGACACTTGGCATAGTTAGAGGATCCTCAAATCCAGATACAAGAGTGAGAGATCTTATGAAGACCTGAATGTTGCCTGGTCCTGCCCTGGAAGTCTTGGACACATGGTCACCACGCATGAGAAACCACAGA